GGGAATTTAGTATCTCGAGAAGAAAACATTCTTGTGAGCTGAAATTTACAGGGCATTCTAGCCACGAGCATACCTATCTGTGGACAAAATTTCAGCTCAAAATAACATAATCCGATTTGTTGGCACATGCCTAGCTATAGGCTAATATTCTGCTAAAATGGTCATAACTTCAGATGGAAGGCCCAAGGGAACGTATCCTTTTGGGGTTTTTCATATTTCACTGGCATCTACTTAATGCATAAAGTCCAAACTCGAAAACGATTTATCACTTGGGGAGCTTCCCTCGTAAGTTCGTTTTGTTTCAGAGTTGTTCTAAAAAACTTGAACCTATATAGACGGAAAAAGGAGAATAAGAGTTACATTCTGATAATTGCACGTTTTTAACAGCAGATTGTTAATGATGTAATGTGTCTGTTTTACAAAGAAAAACACATAATGTTTATATAACTCTGTTATTTCTGCAATATGATTAGTTTTTCTTTCCGAATGTTGCATTCGAGAGTGTTGAACATGGCCTACGATGGTTGGTAGTCTGAAGATTCGCGAAAGATTTTTTCAATTTCGAAGGATCACTTTTTCAAAGGTTTGTAGAGTCTGACACTCTTTTGGATATTATATTTAAAAAGAAAAATTATCCATATTAGAAAAATAATGAAGAATTTACATGAACATTGTATATTGTTTGTCGTAAGATAGGCACTCTGCATCATAGAAAATATGCTTGCAAAAAGTTTTAGTTATCAAAATGTACTTCATAAGATCCTCTTTATATTCACATAGATTCAGTCTTTTTTAGCACAACTCTGAAAAAAAACCAAATAATTCCGTTTATGAGATCGTTCAAAAAATTTTGTCATTGGTTGTATTGATGTCAATTGCAAAGAATCTTATTATGTCAAGACAAATTCTTAGCTGTTTGAATAACTCAGATAGATATTAATGAAATATAAAATTATTTCAAATAAAATATTCTCATTAAATTTTTTTCTTTCTAGTTCCAGCCTATTCTAAACCATTAAGTAGTGCACTACTTCGTGAACAACCTCATCCACCGCTGAATCAACAATACAAAATGAAACGTATTAGTGATTGGCTTAAAAAAGTAGTTCCAACAGAATATATTGAATATAATGAAAATGCATCTTATGAAAGTACACGTGGCACCAATTTCAATGATAAAGTTGATGGTGAATATGATTTACTTTCCGATGAAAAACAATTAAATAATATTGAAAGAACAAATGATGAAGCTCATCGTTTATTACCATTATTTAATTCTGAAATTCAGCGGCAAATGCAACAACGTAATTTATTATTAACCCGTATTGAATTAGACTTATACGTTATTTGACTTCAAAGCTGTACCATTCAATTTTTCAATGTAGAAAAGATATATAAGCGACAAACTAAAACTAAAGATATACTTGTTCACGCACACCGAAGTTATGAAAAATTAAATTAGAAAAAACCCTGCAAAAAAAAGCTAAAGCCGAAATGTCTTTGTGAGAAAGGAAATATGTCTTTAAGTTTTATTGTAATTCCACACGTTTGCGTATTGTTGTTGGACTTGTAGCACGTGCCATAGTTCGACTAACTGTTTGCATTGTTTGAGCCATTTGTGATATATCATCCCAACGTTGAGATTGTATTAAATCTTCCAGCGATTTAAGACGATCAATTTCTTTGACACGATCTTCAAGTTCTTGAACTTCAATTCGTAGACTATTTGTTAAATCTTCTTCATGTGCAAGCTAAATATTTTTAGAAGACAGCATTTAAGTAGTTAAGAAAATTTATCTAATGAAAAAGAAAGACTATTAGTATTATCCCTGCGAGATAAAAATTTGAAAAAAATGATGCCGCTGTTGTTGCTAATCATAGAGAGATTGTTTTATTCCATCTATTTGATGACATATTTCTTCACCATCTTCATACTTAATCTTTGCAGAAGTGCAATAAGGAACTTGAGGGAAAAAATCAGAGACTTCAACTCTGAAGTCTTATGAAATCTTAAGAAGTTTTTGAGCTACAACTTTTAATCAATCTTGAAGCTCAGTCTACGCAATATGCACATGAGAGAATAAAATACACATTTACACTTAGAAATACAATAACAATGTAAAGAGGATGTGGATATGAATGAAACAATGGTCCATATCCTTACTGTGAAGCATCGTCATTTCGATCTCCTAGCTACTCGTATTTTTATTAAATATCAAAATATACATGTGAATCTGTTTAACCTGTGTGAAACTTTCGGGATCCCATTAAAGCCTCATGAAATCTGCTGTTTCTTCCTCGAAGAAAGTAGTTCTTATATTACAATGACACGTTATTGATATACTGTCTTGGATTGTATATCAACAACGTTTATCACAATCTGTAACGTGGATGGGGAAGCCTTGCTAAGATATCTGTAACGATCTGTCAATCGCGTTTGCCATGGTCTATGATGTTTCAATAAAAATGTCTGTCATGATCTGTGGGGAAACAGGACTCCGCTTAGCTCATTTTTTACAAAAAAGATAAAGCATTACTTTTTGTTGTAGTGTACTAATATGACTTGTTAAATGATCTTTGTCACGTTGAAGAGCATTTATTTCATCTTGTAAACGTACATGACGTAATTCATATTCACCTAATTCACGTTTAGCAGTAGTGGCATTTTGAATTTCAATATTCAGTTGTCTTTGTAATTGTTTAAGCTAGAATTTTAAAAATTAGATTTCGAAATAAATATTATGATTCGTACTTGTCCGTCAAGATCATTATTTCTTATTAATTCTGTATCTAATTTATTTTGAATACTTTCAACTGTACTACGAAAACTTTGTTCTTTTTTTCGTAGAGCAGCTATATCTTTATCTTTCATTTGTAATGCATCCGTACGTTCTCGTAATGTATGGCGAAGCTAAAAAAAGAAAATTTCAATATTAATCAAAACAAAGAAATATTTTTTTAATGTTTTACTTGTTCCAAGTCTCTTTCAAATTCTTTTGTTAGATTTTCTAATCGTGATACTTCTTTCATTAAAGCACTCTTCTCCTCAGCTAACTAGAAAATAAATAACTTCATCATAAACGAAAGTGGACATGAGAAAAAATTCAATTTACTTTATTACGAAGAAATTGAGCTTCATTATAACGAGTATCATGTGATTTAAGTTCTTGCCGAAGAGTATTAAGTTCTTTCTTAAATGATGAGAAAAAAACTCTAAATGAATGATACAAAAATTGTAAAGTATCAACCTGTAATTCAACAACATGATCCTGTAAACGATCTCTTTCTCGACTAGTCAATTGATAATCGTTAAGGCTACGTTGTAAATTATTTGATTCGATTTTAAAATGATGTAGCTCATCATTTAAATCTTTATTTTGATTTAGTTGTTGCTCAAGCTTAAAAGAGAAAAAATATTCGAGGATAAAAATTTCAAATGTTAAGAAAAAAAATATGAACCTGTTGTTCAAGTACACGAATTTTTGTTTGAGCATTTTTTAACTCATCGGATGAAGCGCGTGATCGATCACGAATTTGTCTTAACTCTTGATCACGCAGCATTTTTTCTTGTTCAAATGTTTCTCTTGCTCGTCGTAACATATCTAATTCTTCAAGTAAATTTCGCTTTTCAATATCGAATTTTCCTAAGACGGAGAAACCCAAACATTAAATTAGCTAATGATTAAAGATATATGATTTTTTCTTACGACGAAGTTCATCTAGTGCTACCGTTAAACCATGTTTTTCACTTTCTACTTGATCAAATTGAGATGATGTTTGAATAAGATTTCGTTGTAAATCAGAACGTTCTTGCTCCATTTGATGTACACGATCAGTTTTTAATGATCGATCAAGTAGTGTTGAATTCTTGTTTAATTGATCTCGCGTGCACTGAGAGTTAAGGAAAAATAAACTATCTCTCATTTTCTATGATGAGAAAAAAACAAAAGAAAAATTCATTTGGAAAAAGGATATAGATAGAGGCATTCTGTTTCCAAATAGTAGATTTGTTCTTGTAATTGTTTAATGTATTCAGTTTCAAGGCTTTGTGTCGACGAATTTATTAATCGTTGTTTTGTAGGACTTGTTCGACTAATAAGAGAAAAACAAATAAATCGCATAAAATACGCTTTATTGATCATATCTTTTATCAATCGCCTTTATAGTGATCAAAATGACAAATCCTTCATTGATCGATACTGATATCATCTTCGTGTTCATAATCTGTCTCATATCTTCTATTCTATATATTTCGTGTTACAAAAAAAAATAAAAATAAAATCGACGAACACTATTAAAACATAATAAAAAAAATCAAGAAGACGAATAAACCATATCAAAATGAACATTTCAATTTTCTTCAAACAATGATGTATTGATGATTTCAATAAGTTATCTTTGTATGACTATATTTCACCTTGTATATATACAACTTTGATAAATGGACACACAATCAATCCTTGAAGTATTTAATTGCATGCTTTGCCTTTCACTCATTTTTTTTTATTAATAATGTACGAGGACGGACAATTTACATAAAGAGTCTTCGTCTTCTTCTCCATATATGTTCACTAAAATGAAATCATTCATGTATTCTCAAATTGAACAGACACACACCATCAATATAAGTGTGAACGCATTCAACATAAGGTCACGGTTGGCCAGTTTTTTTTCTTATCTTTTCTTTCACATCGATCTCAATACTGAACAGTTGTATTCATTCGGTTCTTTTCTATCAGACGCTCACTCTTTTACAAAATATGGGTTCAATACAAACAACTCATAATCATCATAAACGCTATCGAGCATCATCATCAACCAAATCAGCTGATAATACAAAATATAGATGTGTTAATCGTTTCCGTACAACAATGCGTAGTATAACACATCGAGCATCATCTGCACGAAATTATCAGAATTCTGTTTCATCATCGAATAATTCAATAATAAATAATAGTTCATTTACATCGCCAAACACAATAACAACAATTAATTCACAAATTGATACAGATCCTTATTTAAGTGATTTTGATTATCGAAAATTATCAACATTAACTGGTTTAACAGAATCAAAAATAAATGAATTACATCGAGAATTTTTAATTCTTTCACATAATGGTCAATTATCTTATGAACGATATAAAGCATTACTTGAAACTGTACCTATTCCACGAACATCAGAACAACGTGATAAATTAGCACGACAAACATTTACATTATTTGATAAAGATGGAAATAATTATTTAGATTTTGCTGAATTCATAGCTGCTTATATGACTATGGAAAAGAATGAACTTAGTCTAAATGATAAAACTTTACATAAAGAATCAGCAATATCACCAGTAGTACATCCAACAATATCATCTCTCACACGACAAGCAGCAGCATATTGTTCTCCACATAGAACTCTAAACAAAACATCATATCAACCAACATATCTTCCAAATAATTATTCATCCTATCATCCTCAATCATCAGAACAACACGCCTATGTTTCTTCACAATATACAGTTAGACAAAACGGAAGAATATAAATATTTAATTGATTATGTTTCTTTACTTGAAACCTTACCCAAGAGTACTTTGTTTCCCACTGGTTGATCGAAGTGAACTTGTTTTTGTTCGTTGCCATTTTTGAGAACTTGTCATCGGTGCCGTACATACCGGACATTTTTCCATCATTACCGTCGACATCTTGAAAATGCAAGACAAAAGAGAAAAAATTCGAACAATTTATTTCTTTTTTTTTTCTCTAGTATTTCAATAAGTCAAATAAATTATAAATTAATATTTGCATTCATTGCTAAAATGTTTTGTTTTTAGTTCGCCTTGACAATCCTCATTGGAGTACAAAAAAAAAAAAATCAGAACATGAAAAGAATGTCGCTATAAGTCTCTAGTAAATTATATTTGGTTGCATTTTCAACCGATAAGAAAAAAAAAGCGTCATATGAGACGAGCAGACATGTTATGTTGTTTTATTTTTCCCTAACATTGTACGTCATCACTATAATTCTGTTTTTGTTTGACACTTGCAGAGCAAAACATGACACAATCCTCTGACTCTTTCGGTAAACAATTTGAAGATACAAACAATTTAGAATTTTCATCTTTATTTAGACTATTTATTTAAATTTCTAATTATTGGTAGTGCATCAACTGGAAAATCTTGTATATTGCATCAATTTCTTGAAAACAAATGTAAAATATTTATTTTTCTATTAAAATAATTTGTTTTTTATATAATTCATTGATTGCAGTTAAACACGATAGTACTCATACAATTGGTGCTGAATTCGGTTCAAAAGTACTTACCGTTGGTCATAAAAGTGTGAAACTCCAAATTTGGGATGTATGTTGATTATTATTATTGTCATTTTTCTAATATGAATTGGCGCTTATGTCTGCTTCCTAATTTTTTTGCTATGAACAATTTTTTTTGTTGTTATGATTAATCTGATAATATGAGACTCTTTTAGTCTTACGAGGGTACACTGCCACTTGACACGCACCGCTTGAGCTCCTATTGAACCTACAGGCAGTTGTCAGTGAGACTAGAAAAAGTCTTATAGGGTTCGTTCGTATGAGCTTTTGTTTCTAAGTTATAATCGATTTATTGACTTTTCGATTTATTTTTACGGTGTGCATAATGTGCATTTCGAATAAATTTTTTTCTCTCGCTCATTTATATAATTTGATAGTGTGACAAGTGGGTGACGATTAGATAGTCTTAGTTTTGATTTAACCACTGTTTGATTGAGAGTAATTGTGAACTCACTTTTTTTACGAAAATTGGGATATTTCAATGAGGTTGTTTTTTGTGAGCTTTTTAAAAACATTGTTCTGAATCAACATCGAAACCTAAATAGAAAAATATTATTTGATTACATTTAGAGTTAATCAGTTTACAAATATCTCGACTAATATAAATAGCTTCCACCTGCCTCATAGCACGTATTTGTAATTATTTTTCGAAAACCAATCTACTATTTGTAACAAGATATAGAAGTATTTTAGCTCATTAGAGTCGTTAAAGAGTGAGCTACAATAATACTCATTCAGTTTAATTGTTTTACTATTGAGAAAATCGAATTTTTTCCTTATATTGCGACAAAATCAAATAAAAAAGAGAAAAATGCATTCGTCTTTAGAGAGTTTTCTTTGTCATAGCTTACATTAGTTATGAAGCAAAATACATAGGATACTCAAAATCAATATCAAAAACTGCATCAGATCATATATGTTGTAAGAAATTTTTTCGGATATTGAAAACATCTTTTACATAATCGTATGCAATTTGATGTAGTTTTTGACACTGATTCTGGATATACTATGTATTTAGGCTCACAGTTGAAGCATAATAATAAAAATCCTCTAAAGATGAATGTATTCATTATGTTTTTATCTGATTTCACCACAGAATAAGGAAAAAATTCGATTTTCTAATAAAAAAACAAAAAGCAAAATGAATATTTTTGTAGCTCACAATCTGGCAATTCTAATGAGATAGAACACTTCTATATCTCGATAAAAAAAGTATTAAGCTTTCAAAAATAATTGCAAGTGCGTGCTATGAAGCAGGTGGGAACTATTTATATTAGTCGAGATATTTTTAAACTGATTAACTCTAAATATAATGAAAAAAACATTTTTCTAGTTGGGTCGCGATGCTGATTCAGAATATAATATTTTCAAAAAGCTCAAGAAAACAACATAATTGAAATACCATAACTTCTGTAAAAAAAACCCGATCCATATTTGCCAATGCTACATTTTCAGTCAAATATTAATTGAATCGAAATAAAAACTATATTTTCATTACCAGCTTGTCAAGCTTTGTCAAAACGATATATAAATGAACGAAAAAAATTCATTCGAATTTTGTGTTATGCTTATCTCAGTTAATTTTTCAAAAAAAATCAAATGTCAGAATTTGGATTTAGAGTTTAGTCTATGGTTAGATCTAATGACTGTTAGAATCGTCTAAAAATTCTAGTCAAAATAATGAATTTTCAAAAATAGCTCTTTGCCACAGGCATGGCACAAAAATGAGTTCATTAGAAAATTCAATAACTCGATGAAAGAACATTTTTTTAGGCTAAACATTCACGATATTCTAAGAGTCATTAGACCTAGCTATGGGCAACATTTTAGATCAAAACTTCATTATTTAGTCTGGAGTAAATTACCTAAAAACACGTAAAAAAATTCAGTAAATTAACTATAACTTGATGTCAAAGACCAGCGAGGACAAACTTTTTTAGGCTTTTGTTATTGTCACTGTGATCTTTCTGTGAGTTCAATATGAGCTCAGACAACGAGTGTCACTGAGAGTAGTTCGCTTGTTAGAAAATAAAACAATATTTGAGGAAAAGAATGACTTTCAACATATATTAAACCTTCTATTGTATTATGACGTATATCTCATCTATAGTTGCATGACTAATGATCAAATCTTTATTGTATGTGCAAGTGAAGATTCTCTATAATAGAAGAGAAAATAATTATTTTATTAATGAGTACTGTCTTTAATTTAAAAGTTCTCAGTTACATACTTATGTCTTAGTACATCAGAAAGATTATTTAACCTATAATTTCTCAAAGATTCATTGTTAAAAAGCGAAATTATTATCACTAGTTTGGTTTCATACAGTCCATCAAAATAATAGTATCTATAAATATGGTTTACACTTCTCAAGAATAAAGGCCTATATAGTAATTAAGAATTTGCAAAACACAATTTAAGATGATGGCATATATATACTATCAGCCATTTTGTTTTTACATTGGTGGTTGACACTATGCCATCAAAACGTTTGACCTGGACCTTGGACTCATCAATGTTAGTCACACGAAATTATTATTTATAGATCTGAGTCAACTTCCACGTAAAATATCGAAAAAAAGTGGCTAGTATTTCTAGATTTTGATTATTGAAAATCAGTTTTTATGGTTAGCAAACATAATTTTCGGAATTAGCATTCTAAAATATATCTCAAACTCTATATTTAATTTCAAAATATTTCTCATTACAATTTTCGTGCAACTTCCCCTCAACTTTGATTCGTAAATATGAGTCAAATTCGATTATAAATTATTTTCAATCAAACAGAGAGTTTCCAGTGCCTTTTTCTTATATGTTGATTCCAAAAACGATGGTATTTTTTAATAAAAAAGAATTTTTATTAAATGATGGAAATGAACATTTTCTAAACATAATGAATATATCACTAATACTGAAAAGTCTCATGTCTGTTTGTGTAATCTAACATCATTTTTTTACTCTATTTAGACTGCTGGACAAGAAAGATTTCGATCAGTAACGCGTAGTTATTATCGTGGTGCATCCGGTGCTTTACTTGTTTATGATATTTCAAAGTAAAAGAAAAAAAAGAAATTTTATTTTTTCTATGAAATAAATTGAATTTTAGTCGAGAAAGTTATAATGCAATAACGAATTGGTTATCAGACGTTCGTACATCAGCTAGTCCAAATATTGTCATAATTCTCTGTGGAAATAAGAAAGATTTAGAAGAACAACGTCAAGTAACATATCTTGAAGCTAGTCGATATGCACAAGAACATGGTAAAAATGCTTTTAAAATTTTTTTTTCTTTTATATAAAACTTCGTTTGTAGATTTAATGTTTCTTGAAACATCTGCATTAACAAATGAAAATATAACTGAAAGTTTTCTTCAATGTGCTCGTATTATTCTCACAAAAATTGAATCAGGTCATTTAATTATTTTCACTCTTGATATAAATAAATTTCAAGTTTGATTCTTTAGGTAGTATTGATCCATATAGAATGTATTCAGGCATTCAATGTAATCGTACAGTTGCTGCTCAGCAAAATGAAAATTCACCTAATAATATATCACGAAAATCATCAATAAATTGTGCATCATGTCAAACATAATATTATTTATATCTATAAGATAAATATTCTATTTATATACTTATTTATTAATTTTTTGTTGATTCATTTTTTTCCGAGTATATAAGACAGAAAACATTCCTTAATATTTCAAAAAAATTTATAATCATCTACTTTTGTTTTTTGTGGCTATTCTAATTATTGCTATCGCTCATGCTACTGCTACTACTGCTGCTGCTGCTTCTAATTTTAACTGGTATTGGCTTATAAAGAAGAGCATCATAAAAATAAACGATATACATATTTTATGATTAAGGATTTATGTCATTTGTTTACTTTCTGAAGAGTACTATTAAGGTTTATAGAGTATTTCGATGACTAATGTGCATTTGTCCTTGTACAGGTCACGCATCGAACTATGAAATGATCGTGAAACAAAACTGTTAATTGCGGCTAGAAATCTACTAGTGATTCGATAGTTTTCGAGAAATATTTTGGAAATGTCTTCTGCCACTGTGCTGTATTGGAACTTTTAGATTGACCTCATCACGATTCCAATTGTTGGACTTGTAGACACTCTAATCCAGTGGAATTTCATGGAATTTTACCATCATCCTATAAAAGAAGCTGCTGCTGCAATGATAGTATTTTTTGAAAATCGTTCGCGCCACTTTGAGCATAACTAGTGTGAACTTCACACTGTGAAGTTATTGTGAACGTAATAGGTAAAATCGTCAATGTATTTATTATTTTCATCATAAAGATTATAAACTAACGACATCTATAAATTGAATAAAAAGATTATAATTGAATTAAAATAAATTTCATGTTTGTAATTTAATTAGACAGAAAAAAAATAAATATATTAATAAAATTTGGATTTATACTCTTTGGTTTCTAAGCAAACAGTTTCCTTGGTGATAGAATAATGATGACTATCTGTTGAACTGTGGGTTTGTTCTTGCTTAGATACGATTCTGATTGATAACTAAACAAGTCATTAAAAGAAAATGGTATGTTATGAGACCAAAGCGTGTGAAGAAAACAGTTTTTTACATTTTTATCTAATATTTCTGTCATATGCTTAGTCGACCGATGAACGGTATTGTTTCACAGGCGAATGGTACGATCCTCAAGCGTCAATGACTCGCACTTATCAAGTGCTTTTTTATCCATCGGATAATAGTATTGAAATGGTGGATAGAATTCTTCATTTCTGTGGAATATTTTTGTAAATTTATACTTGGTTCTTGTTTTTAGTTTGACGTTAAAACTCGACGAGCATTTCTTAAACGTACTAAAAGTGAAGCAACAAAATTAGCTGATTTTTTTATTGGTAATACAATAAATATATTTTCTCGTTCAATAAAAATTGTTGATTTTGGCGATGCATTTACTGCTCGATGTATTGGCAGAAATCAAGAAAGGTTAAAAACAAAAGTGTTTTGATCTTTTGATCGTTTTTCTTTATTTAGAACTTTAGCAATTATAAAACCAGATGCTATACGCAATTTAGGTGATATAATAAGTGCTATTTATGAAAATGGTTTTACAATTGCACGAATGCGAATGATTAAATTATCACAAAATGAAGTAATGTATTTTTATGGAGAACATAAAGCAAAAGATTTCTTTCCGTATGTTTTCTAAACTTCATATTGTCATATCTAATAGTATGATGATATATATATATTTTTTTAGACGATTAGTTGAATTTATGACCAGTGGACCAATTGTTGCTATTGAACTTGTTGGACCTGATGCAATTAATCGTTGGAGAAGTATGATTGGACCAACTGATTCACTAAAAGCAAAAGAACAAAGCCCACATAGCCTTCGAGCAAGATTTGGCTCAGGTTTGAACTTATGAATAAGTTGATTTATAAAATAAATTGATTATTTAGATGGAACAAGAAATGCTTTACATGGATCAGATTCAGCAACAAGTGCACAACGAGAAATTTCATTTTTCTTTGGTTCAAAATATGGTACTAATACGGCTTGTTATAATGATACAACATGTTGTCTTATTAAACCACATGCAGTTGCTGAAGGTAAACAAAATTAATTAAAGAATGTATGTTCTTAGTTTCCAAGATTTGATTACTTATTCTTACAGGAAAAGCTGGACAAATTATTAATGCTATTCTTACTGCTGGTTTTCAAATTTCTGCTATTGGCACTGTAAGTCAATTATACCTAGAAACTTATTTGTATACATCCTTTTGTTCTTGTTTTCAGTACAGTTTAGATAAAGTTAATGCTGAAGAATTTCTCGAAGTTTATAAAGGTGTTGTTCATGAATATCCCGTAAGTAATTCTTTTCTTACGAGAGAACATATCTAACTGTTAGACACCATTTGACTTCATATTATGGCTATGAATAGATCTCGATGAAACTAGGACAAGCTTAAAAGGGTTCGAACGTTATGGTCTACTGGTAAAGAGCTATGGTCATTTTAATGAAATTTTGACTAAGAGCAAAACATTTTCATAAAACTCAAAACAAAGAGTTTCGACTTGAAAATTTCAAAAACGAACATGTCTGTCTTATTACGTTCAATATTCAAAAAAGCAAGGAGTTACGATGCGAAGACTCAATACTCGAGTCTATTTGAATTTTGAATATATCGAGAAAGAGATGTTTATTTTCGTTGAAAATTTTAGGTCGAAATTCTTTGCTTTGGATTTTTCTGATAATGTCTTGTTCTCAGTAAAGATTTCATTTAAATGGTCATAACTTTTTATCAATAGGCCACGGGCCCCGAATACTTTTAAGCTTGTTTGATGAAAGAAATTCTCTAACTGTTCAATTGCTTTTGAGTCGCGATTATTCGCATTAGATTGGTCTAAAAGAGTTTTAAGTACTTTGGGAAGAGTTCGTGCCCGTATTTTGGTGTTGGGAAGATACGGTGCACTCACAATATTTTTTAAATAAGTGCTGTAGTAACTTGAAAACTGATTTTCGGATCTCGATTTGAAACTCTCTATAGAGATAACTTTAACGAGAAAAGTTTACTGTGAAAATTTCAAGTTTTTTGATTTGCTGCTTTTCTCGAAATAAGAACATCAAATCTGCTAGTTTATATGTGTGATGTAAAAGACACACTATTGAAATAGTTGTATCTCGATATTGGAATATCGAAAAGACCTGAAATATTTAGAAAAAAAACTATTCTTGTTCAGGCCTTTCTCTTTTCAAATTTTCCAGTCAAAAATCAGTTTTTTCTATAATCATGGCATTCATTGAAAAAATATCATAAAACTGCAATGCCTCCGCAGTCATCAGCTAAGGGTAAAAAATTTTTCAGGACATTCACAGTTTATTTGGATTAATATAAAGCACATAGTGTCGACTCAAAAGTTACTGAACAGTTGAATGACTTCATTCGTTAGTCTCACCAAGACCTACTTATAGCCATAATATGAAGTCAAATGATATTCGACAGTTGGATATGTTCCTTCACTATTGAGATCTTAAATATTCCTTTTTTTCATTAGAAAATGGTTGAAGAATTAATGTCAGGTGCATGTATTATTCTTGAAGTTCGTTGTCAAAATGCTCAAGCAGTTTTTCGAGATTTTTGTGGTCCCGCTGATCCGGTATGTTAATAATGTAATATCTATTTGACGTAGTCATTTTTTTTTATCAAGGAAATCGCTCGTCATATTCGTCCGAGAACATTGAGAGCAATATATGGGAAAGATAAAGTGAAAAATGCTGTTCACTGTACAGATTTAGCTGAAGACGCAACATTAGAAGTAATTAAATATTTTGAAGTTGTTCTTTTTTTCTTTCTATTCTAAATTTGCCTTATTTTTAGGTTGAATATTTCTTCCGAATTTTGGACAATTAACAAGTGAAAATTTTCTTTTTAACTTCGGATTCCTTTTCTTTAATTATTTGCGAATAAAAAACAAACAATACTATCATATCTTTAACGGATTATTTTTTTTTCATAAAAGTTTATATAATGAAAATAGAATGAAGTAAAATACGAAGTCTTTATTTGTATTGAATATTCATTAATCATTTGTGACTAAAAAATAACAAAACAAGATCCCTTAATAAATTAAAATTGTACGAAAAATATCATTTACGAGGTGGTAATGGTCTTTGTCGACCACGAGGTATCTGATGTTGATAAATGACATCAGGTGATATCGATGTTGGTTCATACATTGATGGAAAAGAATATTGTTCATAGTTTGATGATTGTACTCGTTGTTGATTTCGTCGAGCTTCTTGACCATTGGAAAGGTCATATGATGTTGATGTAATTTGTGGTATTGTTGGTCGAATAGTATCATCATGACTTGAGGATTGTTTTTGTTTTCGATGAGTAAATGGTGATGATGATCGTTGCCGAAGATCAGTATATTTAGTTTGCGGTATTGAGTTTCGGATGGTTTGTTCATTAGAAGGTGATCGAAATTCCAGAGGAGTTTCGGCTTCTAGAAAGTATTGGTATTTATGTCAAAATATTTTTAAAATGACAATGTTTCTTTTTGTGTCCAAACAGCAATGTATTTGTATATACAAACCCTTGACCTACCTTTTGGTTGAATTTTAGTACTACCAACAGTTTCGATGTCTAGTATTAATCATTATTCTATGTAAATGTTTTATGTGATTAAAGATTCCTTATAGACAACTAAAATAAGACAGTTTTTATATATTTCGCTTACGATATTTTGGCTTAGAACCGCATTTCCATAAAATCAGACCAATTATTCCTCCTAATAGTAGAACACCAAGAATCGATCCAACAATAATCAATGCAATTTTCCATCCAGCAAGAGATTCTATTCATAATTTTCCAAGAAAATAAAATTTAAGAATTAAATAAACGACTTATTTCATACCTGATGTATTGGTCGGCGCAGTCGTATCTGTTAAAAATGAGGAAAATAAACAATCATGTTTAGTTATTATAGTTTTTTCAGAAATTCTTTCACATATGATAGCAAGAAGTCGCATGCAATTATTTTTCTAATCAAAATGAAAGATAATTCTTGGTCAGCATTGCTATCGTTTTATGTTTAAAAAGTAGAGAATATCTTTCATTCCCACTTTTCTTTGGTATCATAATGAGACAGAGTTTTTTTTACTAGACTCCAATCGCTTAAAGTGATTTAAAGGCTTCCCTCTCCTGACCCAAAAAGCTTGTTTTTTTGCTATCAAAGTTTTATTTATAGCGGTATGTTGACGTGTCCTACATCAAGTGCCGTATAAGTCCTGAAAAAGTTTAGTTTCAAGGACGCCTATCGTGAAAAAAGCCTATGGTTCTTTCAAGTAGTAATCTCGTTTATAATTCCTACAAATTCAAGAAAGGAAGACGGGGGAAGTGCCCACTGAAATAGATCAACAGAATAGTTTACTATGTTTTATTTCAACTGTTTGATTTCTTAGCGTTCAGTTATGCTTACTTAGATATGAGCCGTATTAATATGATTATAGTTCAACATAGTTTTACGTGCCTTATTTCATCGATTAGAGGACTCATAAAATTAAGTTTAAACAACAGAGTGAACAACTATAACAATTATAAAAGATACTTTTAATGACTAAATCTCCATTTCTAACTTTAGGTTTTGCTATTACATTTTCTGTTAGATTTAGTTATATAAACAAAAAAGAAAATGGAACTTTTTTTACGTCATAATCAAAGATGATATCAAGTCGAAATTCATACGTGTATACACCTAATTTAAACGTGGTCGTGATATTAACCCTTTGGTTACGGGTTTAATTTTCGAGATACAATTTTATGAAAAATGCTTCTGATGTTAAAACACATATTTAGTCTATCTATATGTGTCACGACGAGAGGAAAGGACAATATAGAAGAAGAAACCCACAACAACAAAAAGAAAAAGAGAAACGACAGACTTTCCATAGTTAACTGGACCTATATTACCGCTAACAATCAGGTATCATATATGATACTCCAGTAGCCAAAGGGTTAATTATGCGATCGATCCAATCCAGTTAATTTGATTTCGAGCGTGTAAAAGAAAAATTACAAATACAACAAGATTTTTAAACGATATATGATTATGTTTAAAAAAAACGGAGTTCATTGTGACGTATTCTAGTTGAATTAAATTGACTTATGCTTTCTTGATACTCGCTAAATATATGTTGTTCTTTCTGAATATCTAATTGCATGTCAAGTTCCTGAGTCGAATCAGAAAGAAAACGAATATGAAGCACAACTCCGATTAAAATTGATATAAGAATAACTAAACCGCTCTATTTAGGTAAAAAATTAAATCCTCTGATGAATTAAGTTGAAGAGTAACTGAATCAACCAAAAGATAGAAATAAACTATTATTGAATTGTATCCTTGTGAAAAGCTTCCTTGTGTACTATAATCCTAGCACGATAAAAAACACACAAGACAAGTATAGAAGAAATACTAATGAAAAGTAAAATCAGAGTAGTACTTCTCATAATCAATAGAAAACATATTCTGTCCCCCCCCAAAAAAAGAATATAGACCAGAAAACAATGCCAACAAACATTGATTAGAATTTGCTCGATATTTTCAAGCAGATGAGCAAGCAGAATTTTAGAATATTGTGAAAAAATAATAAAATAGTAACGTTAAAAAAAAGAAAAACCTTTTTATTAAAAGCAAAAGTAATGGCAACACTGTTCTTGGTTAACATAATCGTACTAATCGAAGAGAAAGTAGTATTTGGTAATTCTGAGGAGACAAGAAACGGAATAGTGATACTATCTATGTAGAGGATCTGCTTGATGATGCTGATGAATATATGCTATCATTGTTGTTGATAATGCATTCTGAACTTTTAACTTTACTTGTACCTGATTGAATACTTGTCAGTTCTGAAGGTGTAATTTTATTTGTACCTGATTGAGTAATTGTTAGTTCAGAACCTGATGAATTCATGGTAGACGGTTCAACACTGGTGGCTGCTGAAATTATGCTTTGTTGGATCATATTGTTTCGTAAAAAAAAACAACATGTTTATTTTTCTTCTTATGACATCGGAAAATATTTGATGTATTACTTAATTGAACTAAGTCCCCCTCGACCCCCCTCCCCACCCCCGTTCTGGAGTTTCTTGGGAACGACTCGATGAAAAATGATGAAACTTTCAAAGCAGATAGGCCTTAATAAATAGAGCAAAATTTGTCATAAATTTTAAGCTCCTGGATGCTTCCTACAGGAAGATATAGAAGTAGCAAAGATCAAAAATGGCTGAAAGTTTTATTTCCGGCAAACCTCTATATTTCATTTTTTCGAACTGTCATTTGTTTGCGACAACTAGGATAGAATTCGAGTGAATGTTTTAGTTTTTCTTTCAAAAATATTGCGCCTAAAACTGAGAAGAAATCAAGTAAGGGTAGCACTGTGAACAAATGTGTTTCTTTTCAATCATACTGCTTTTTCTACAGGATTCCGAATTTCTTAGGAAAAAAATTTTGAAAAAAGGAAAAAAAGAACACTCACTGTAATCTAATCAGAGTACTTATGAAAACCTTGGGTCCGATCAGACATACTGTGTGGAAGAAAACGGGGAAAACTTTGGTTTTTTTGTTTGGAAATTTATTTTGAGAAAAACGCGAAACAATGTACATTTTTCGCTATTTTCGTTATGTAAATTTTATTTCTTCTCAGTTTTTGAACACTTACAGACAATTTTTAGATCCCAAAATGTATTTTTAGTAGATAGATATCGCCTCAGACTATATATAATAGACACAGAAAACCAAAAATTCGGGTCATAAAAAAAGAAAGGAACGTATCCTTAAGAATATCTCTTACCCTCATATATACATGGTTTAATATTAATATCAAACCGATATTTTGTATAGATAATGTCATACACAATTGACAGATTAACAAAAGTCGAATTCAATAAGTCTTCTGATGTGAGCGAGTAATTGTTCAAACCATTGAACGTATAGTAGCATCGATCTCTAGCAGCAGTTGTATTCAAACAGTACGAGATATTGCGTACACATTCTACATTAGTATTGTGTTGTATTAAAATTGTACAATTATCAGGTGTGCCAGACGTTATTATGTTCGGTTCTTTGATTAATGATACGTCTGAGAAGGAAAGAAAATAGCGACATGTTAATAAATCATGAATATAGAAATAATAAATAACGGGTGATCGACAATCTTTTGGACAAAATGTTGAAAGCCAAAACATATATATATAGAACCTATCGAAATAATTTTTTTTTACTGATTATATAGCTTGCCGCATTTTCTATCTATACTATTAATTTGAGACTTTTCGATCGATCCATTGTTGTCAAAATGATTGATCTTCATAAACGTGGTTTTTCTATGCTTGGACAAAATAAAAATTTGAAAAAAATTGATATACTAAAACATTTTGCAGAAAAGCTTTTCCATAAAGTTGGAACTTATGTTTCTTCTATTCAACAAATATTTATTATAGAAGTTTGCTTACATAAAATACACACAACATAAATCTAAAAAATGACATACACTGTAAACTAGAAAATAAGTTATAGAGTTTAATGAAGGATATTCTAGGAATGCCCATACGAATTCAACGATTAATTTCTACTTTCTTGAAAATAAACTATTGATATTCAAGTTTCGATTTTCTGCAGGAAATCAAATTGAATTTCTATTATTTAGAAAATCAAGCAGTTTTTGAAAGTTTAAAATTCGACGAATGTATAATAAAAGTTTGAAAATGCTTTAGCTTATTTAAAGTCGATTTCCTACAAAAATAGAAGGCCACCCCCCGTATAAGGCCATGCCCGAGCAAAAGTTCAAACGCCCTATTAGAAGGCCATGTACTAATTAATTAATATATTCCAAAATTAATGAATTTTTCATAAATATTAATTAATAATTAAGGAAATATAACCGATTTTCTAATCTTTTTTTTTGCGAAATCCTTTCTTTCCTATCATAAATAGTACAGTTTTTACAAAAAATGGTAGTTTTTCAGCAAAAAACACCTAAAAAACAATAAATAAAGTTATTAATTAATTATTCATTTTTTAAATGATGTTAATTAAAAACTGGTCAAAAATTGACCCCCAATAGAAGGCCATCCAAAAAGTAGCGATGTGCCAAGACACTGTATAAGGGCATGCCCTTTTATTCTGGGGAGGGGGGGGGGGGGGTAGTCAAAGTATTGAAAATGGTCATTTGTCTTCTATTTTTCGTAATTTTGTTCTTATGGTCTCCATCATTATAATACGAATTTTTCTTCTTTTGGTTCAATGCTACGTGTTAGAAAAGACATGTCCATGCATTTTTCAGATAGTTAATTGTTGGTACGAAAAAAGATCGTTTGTGTCAAGGAGAGGGCTGGACGATATTTCTCAAAATCGAGAAATCGTTCTCATTCAAGCAGGAAGGCTTCACGCCATACAAAGTCAAGCAGAAATGTTTTAAAGAGAGAAAAACATCCCAATATCAAGCTTAACAGCTAAACAGAGAAAAACAGTATAGCAGAAATGGAAACGTTGCTAGGAGAAATATGTAAACACATTCTCTCTTCTCCAGCAGAAAAGTATAATAATAAAACGAGAAATGTATGAATGATTTCCCTTTCTCCAGAAGAAACTGATAATAGATAAGCAGAAATGGTAAAATGTCTTCTATAATGTAAGCAGAAATGAATAAGATCCTTTTTCCTTCTAAGGAGAAGTTCTAGCAGAAATGGAAAAGTTTCAAGGAGAAATGTATGAACGATTCCTCTTTTCTCCAGAAGAAACTGATAATAGATGAGAAGAAATGGAATATACGTAGAAGAACGATGAATCATCGATAGATATACATATATACGTATATGTATATGTTAATTTTTCCATTTCTCCTTGTTCTGCGTGACTTTGTGTGGGGTAAAGCATTTCTCCTTAAAGTCGAACGATTTCTCGATCGATGGATCATATTGTCCACTGCTGATCAAGGAACAATCACTTCACTTGTGAATGTGATACATGAAAGACACGTGGAAAAATGAAAGCTGGACAATAGCTCCGTAGTGCACTTACTGATGAATGCAGATATGATAGGTGCTGTGGTGCGGCGTGGAGCCCCTGTGTCAGTGTGGGTAAGAGGAGAATGTGGCTGTGACCAGTGTAGATATAGACGTAGGGTTTCTCTACATCTAGATTCGCGCCTCCACCCCATATCGATACATCATATTGGTATTCACACTTGTGTGAGTAAGTATCCTGGTGTGCAAATGTCCCAAATCAAAAAACATATGGTGTATAGCTTTGAACAGATAAAACTTTTGAAGTTGACAGCTGTACAATAATCTAGATATCTCTACAGAATATTTTTGGTATGATCTAGAAGCCAAGTTTCCGATTTATAATTTTTGCATTTTGATTGACTTTAAAAAAACTGTTTCTTAAAAGCTGTATGCAAGTGCCTATGATATTGAATTAAAGTTCTTCTGATGATAGAGGGATGTTCATGGAAGTATAGTCTTCTAGTCTAAAGGAACATTTTTTGGAAGAATGTTATCAGAAATCAGACTAGATTTAAATGGATAAAATAATAATATAAAGGTTTAATTGATTAAGAAAACAAATTATGCAAAGTTGAATGAGAAGATTCAAATATTTTTAAGAATTAATCTTACTTAAAGATGCATTATAATTTTCAAATGTACTGTAATCATTGTTGTGAAAGAAATATTTTATAATCATTGCAATATTCATATAATTATTTGTTAAAGTTATATTACTGTCATTAATTTGAACGAAGGTATTATTTAGTAGACTGTTCGATGCGAAGATCACTTCTGATGAATTTATTGTTCGATAAACATTCGAATTAAATGGTTCTATGGAATCATTGATGAAGAGATAAGCGTTACAAGAGCCCGAGTCATTTGTTAGAGTGAATTTGACCGAGGACAGCTTGACTTCTATAAATACAAAAAAATTATACACAAAAATCTAAACAGATTTTCAAGATTGGTTACGATGAACTGTCAAGTTTAATGAATAAGTGTTGCCTGTATCTGAATCAGCTTCGTAGATGCCACTATGAAAGCGATTGAGATAACCCAAATATAGGAGCGAGTCTATGGATTCAGCAACAGCGCTTATATTAGGAAATAACAGTCTATTTGGATAGTTATAGTTTCCTGTGTCAAGTTTGGCAATAGTGCTTCTATTGAAAGACCATCTTCCGACAAGAGTTTGCTTTGCTCTGATAGTTACTTCATCGTGTATCCACACTGAAACTTCAGTATTTACCCCACTTCCTGTGATTGTGAGACTATGAACTTGTCCTAAAATTGTTTGTAAACCATGAAAAATAAAAAGTGCTACGAAGTAAATCCACTTATTCATCGTTGAGTCTAGAAACACATATCACTATTAAATGACGGACTATAGATAACAATAAAATTGAATGAATTATTCAAATTAATTATTGAATATGACGTTAATCACACGAAGAATGTATTAGCATTGTCAATAAATCGATATTATTGCATGTACAATAGCTTAAGTTTTCTGATATTCAAGACAAAGATTGAGTTTATAAAAAAAAAGTTGTAAACGATCGTTGACGTTGCTCTTATGTTTTCAAAATAGTGAAAAAGATTGCATGCAATCAATGAAATAAATAAAAAGTAATGTCTAATTCTAGTTGTTGTCTTGTCAACTCACTTTAACAGATAAGGAACGCAAATATTGCCATCGCAACGACAGCATTAGCGGTGTGCATAGTTTTTAATACTTTAACAAGAAATATTTAACTAACAAAATTGCTATACTGCTAAACTGAATAAGTTCTATATCGTCATTACTTACGAGTTAATGGTAAAATTAATACTAATATTGTGTTACATTTTCAAACATAGTACATGACATAAACAATGTCATGAAATACTTTATCTTCGATTCAGTCCCATTGGATGATTTATTAGTTTAGTCCTAATATAACAATTATAATGATTCATAATTTAACCAATA